AATTATTATTATTGTCTTGTTTAGTTCCTAGAGAAACATAGGACTTCACCCGCACGTCTCTATTGAGTTCGGTTCTCTGCCAACGTTTTCACCTGGCTCCACGTTTGTCCACATGCTTTCATCTCTTCTACGCATCACCTCCTCAATGTCACAGCAGCCTCAAACTGACGACCAACACGCCGCCTCCATTTTGGGTTCCACTCGACCAATGGCCTGGGGTGTGATCTCACTCTCACTTTATGGTTTGTACCCTCAGAGTATAGGCCAATCCACCTCCATTTCTTCCTGCTGGGTTGGTTCACTCCCAAAGATCTCTCTCTACTGTTTATCTTTTCTGGCCAGCCATCTGATGTTGAGTAGTATTGAGCGAAGACAACTATTGATGAATGTCCGTAGTCTGTTCGAACTTCCCTCCATGACTCGCTAAGTCTCTGATCCGTATAGACAGTACCATTGACTTCACATTGGAGTTGATAATCCGGATCTTATTTTTCATGATGAGTGCTGTTGATCTCCACACAGAGTAAAGACTAATGAAAGCTTGTCTCGCCTCCCCGATCCTCACTTTAATATCCTTATCAGTTTCGTCGACTTGTAGTTGAAACGATGCCTCCCAGGTAGGTCATAATCATCATATCAAGGTGATATGATTATGAGCAATAAATTGTGCTCGAAACGTCATCAGTAAACATTACTGTATAACACTGTGAGACTTTATCAAAACAAAAATTTACCCATAATGGAATTATACTCTGCCACAGTGCACAAGTTTTATTCTTATATCACATTGCATACAACCTCATACATGGTCTACGAGTACGACTTTTACACACATCGGAAGCAAACGGAATACATTTGAACAAGCCCAATCTGTGCACATTCAAAATAAATATGTGTAGATCCATTGTTTTCCTTTTGAAGTGTTACAAACGATATCCCCTGCCCCTTGTAACTACCTTTTGACTTTGTTATTTCATTTTTATAATTCTAGCTCATTCTGTTGACTTATTTATATCTTATGTAATTCTACTTAGTCATTCTATTCTTTTTCGTCATCATTAATTACTTAACCAATCTCTCTTGATTGTGTAATAAGTTGTAGTCAGTCGTTAGGAATTAACTGATCTTGAATTCCGTAATTAATTTTAACGCCTCCTTCCTTCAAAACTTGGATATCTTGTCATTAACATCTGTTAGTTAATTGATGTTTTGATGACTTTTAACCTCTTAATTGCACCCTACTCACGCTATACCTAAAATTGATTAACTAAGATAAACACTTGATTGGTAAAAAAAACAAGTTTGAAGTAGAAAACTATATATTAGTGTAGAGCTAATCGATCATGAGGAACTAAGACAGTAGTCACTCTCTCAATCAATCATGAATTTGATTTTAAATTTCATAGTCGATATTGTTACGACCAGCTCTGTATACCGAGATCTGACTTAATTAAAAAGGACTTATTCACTGATCTAAAAGACAAAACTTGGTACAACAAAGTCACCAAGAAGATACATCACACAATGAAAATAAAAAACATTAATATATGAAGAAAATAAGAGAAGAATAAATAAACATCTTTATCCGCAAAAGGAAGCAGCTATATTTAACAAGACCAGAAAACATTCGTCGAAGAAATAAGGAAATTTCAGCACGTTCACTATTGACACTGAGATTCTTGGCCATATCGGATAACATTTTGAGATATTTCTCGGAGCTACATTCCCCTGGTTGTAGATGATCAACAGAGGTTCATACGCTATTCCGTCCGTTTGAGTTCTGGAGTTCATGTACCTCACATAGTAACTGCTGTTAGTCTAATCGCTGGAATGGTGAGGCTTGCAGGAACACAAGTCCAAGCCAATGTAGTCTATTGGGTCACTGCGTCAAGGTAACAGTTATCAGCTGGGAATTAAGTAGGATCGCTTAAATGTCATACAAACATGGTAGCTTACTACGTACAACACAAAAAAACAGTGTATCGCTATTCACCTACATTATTATTATTATTACTTAATTTTTCTATGCAACCCAATGGATAAAAGCATAAGAATCTAATTCTGAAGGGATTTAGGCTGTAACCACTAATCAACACCAAAACCACCAAGGGCAAAAATAAGGAAGAGAAGACTCCACGTTGTTGACAGAGAGGTTTTAACTCTCTCTCTCTCTCTCTCTCAAAATGGTCGAGGACAATTATGCACATATAATAATAATAATAACTTTGTGTGCCCCAAATCTTTATCAACTTCATTCAACAGATAGACCTACATGACAATGCCACATGTTAAGTGAAGTGAAAATATGTCACTATTCTTTCTCCTACACAATGCAACTTATTAGAGTTCTATCGAATCTCTTTTCTGTACCTGTATGTGCTGCACTTCTGAGCAAAGTTCTACGCTACAACTAAGGCAGTCAGACAGTTAGTAGATCACTCTTGCACACGTAAGAAGCAGTAGTCAAGAGGTTAGATCATTTTAAAAATAACTAACGCGTATCATTTCTATCTGCTTATCATATCAACAACATATCTACTTATCGACAATCAGCACCAATCACCATCAACGGAAGAGATTTGTCAGAAGTTATTTCCTTCAGTTATTTGGTAAAGAAGTACGGTTTCAACCGCAGGCAGTCGGGGGTAGCACGAATGAAGATGTTAAAGCCAGTCAGTCAGTCAGAATCGGAAAAAGCAAGATACACATTAATCAACCTGAAACCAGTTGGCAAATCTTTTATTCTCACTTAGCCATCCAGCAAAAACAACAAGATTAGAATCCTGTTCAACACAAATGACTTAGGAATCGACTTGTTACCAGGGAATAGTCTTATGGACTTAGAATATGCAGATGACATAGTCCTGTTAGGGGAGGATGCTGACAAAATCCAGCAGAGTCTTCTGAACACCTTGAGCAGCAATCTTCGTATGTTTGGCATGCGATTCGCCCCTACAAAATGTAAGATGCTGCTACAGGACTGGACCACGTCAACTCCTAGCTTAGTGATAGGGAGTGAAGTGATAGAACATGTTGACCACTTCACCTATTTGGGAAGTTGTATTAGCACCAACGGACTGATTAGCGATACAATCTCAGCACGGATCCGAAAAGCTGGAGACAATAGGTGACATGGCTCAAAGTGATCGTTGTCGATGGCTAGCGCAGATGTATTCAGTCTCTGTAATCTTTCATATTTCTTTCTACCATTACCCATCCTGTTTCACTCTTATACTTGTCAAACTCTATTGATTCTCTTCACTCATCTTCTTGTTTACCTCTGTGTGCTATTTGGAACGTGGGAACTGGAACTGGTGCACTTCGGTGCGAAGTTCTATGTTGAATCCAGACAGACAGACAAATGTGAACTCGGTCGGTCAATGCTTCTATCATGCGTCAGAAACTTGCACTTGACACACTAACCAATTGTAAACTTTTATCAACAGCTACCAACTTCGCTGGTTGGCTGGTAAAAAAACCAACCAATAGCCTATCGCTCAACAAAATGGAGATGGATGAATCGGGCATACGCGAATGATGAGTAGGTAGTCGAATGACATCGCGCTCAGTGCAGGCCATCACTCAAGTAGGACATAAATGGGAAGCGATGACAAGGGTCGTCAGTGCGAGGATGATATGAAGGAGATCGTCAGGCGAGGAGGACGAGGAGCAGGAGGAGATGAGAGATTATGGGCAATTGTGGGGCCAGCCGGTTGAAATCTCAGCACGAATACAAGGGGCTCGTTTCACATTTGTTAGTTTACGCCGACTCTGGTGTAGACGAGATGTTCGACTATCGACCAAAGGGTGGGTGTACTGCTCATCAGTCCGCCCCGTCCTCCTTTATGGCTGTGAGTGAGACCTGGCCACTGAGAGTGGAAGACATGAAAAGCCTGGCTAGCTGTCTTTGATCATAGGTGCCTGCGTTCTATTTCCCGTGTAAAGTGGCATTATAAGGTGAGCAACATTGAGGTTAGGCTTCGGTCGAGTGATAGGTAAACAGGGGAAATCAATCGACGAAGTCGTGAAGTTACAAAGACTGAGATGGTTAGGACATGTGTTACGTATGCCAAGTCATCGCCTCCCTCGACGAGCAATGTTAGCGGATATACGGTCAGGCTGGAAAAAAGCTAGCGGCGGTCAAACAAAAACCTGGCACCAGTCAATGAAATCCACAACAGTTGGTCTAAGCCACGTAGGAAGGTGTAGACTGGCTTCCTGGTTGGGGTCCTCGGGACGGTAAAAATCTATGGTTGGAAACAATTGGTGACATGGTTCAAAGTGATCGTTCTCAATGGCTGGCTGGTGCAGATGCATCCACTCCTTGTGACTTATGATCTCCAACGAAACTGTTTTGTTCTTCGTTATTTCTATTCCTTTGTCTCACACCTCTGCTCACTGTTTCTATTATGCTTTTCTTGTACTTTCTTCTCCTGCTTCGCGTGCTACACGGAATGTGGCGACTTGAACTTCCGCACATTTGTGTAAAGTTCTATGTCGAAAACAGACAGACAGACGGTTGTAGAGGACAACAGAGAACAGAAAAAAGTGTAAATGTATTGTTGCAGCCACATTTTCCAGTCGGCACCCAGGGGAATAATGAATAAATCATATCAATTCGTAGTATATTAATCGTTACTCTCTTATTTTACCAAAAATATAACTCTAAAATAATGTAAGGGATAACAATAAAAAAACACAAGGGACAAGAGACAAATAAATACACGAATATACACGCATAAAAATAGGTATAGGGGGACTAAATTACAAGCTACAAACAGACAATGTATAATAATTTTTACATAATAAAAAAAGATAACAAGACAACAGAGAGAGATTATTATGATGCAGTATGCCTATTACATAACATACAGGACGGAAAACCGAAGGCGCAAAGCGATAACACACACACACACACACAACGCATGCATGCATGCATACACACAATCAGTAAAAAAAATGGACAATAATTTAATATATGCATAATTTGATCAGCTTACTCGATATCTTTTATCAGTAATTAGCTAAACATTAAACATTATAAAACAAGTATATGATATAATTATTAATGGTAGAAATGGTCGTCTGAAGTTTGCTACTGACAAAATTCTATAAGTAGTATGTATATATGTATGCGTCGGTGGAACAGCTGAAGAGTGCTGGCCAACCACGTCTCATGTGGTCCTGGTTCGATCCCCGGCCACCGACGCACTCCTTTACACCACTTATCCAGTAAGAAGACTGGTAAAGAGGGAAGGTTAGGTATGAGGCCGGCTAGCAACTCCATCCCGTAAAAATAAACACAACTACTACTGAAACTTAAAGCCTCTAGTTTGAAACCCGATGTTCCACTGAGAACGTAAAGGAATAAAAAAGTAAATATTCTTCTATACGTTGTCCGCATGACTATTGAATAGCAGAGGGATGGATGGATTTAATGGCGCAGAGAAGAAATGAACGATATTTATGAAATAGTTGCAGAAAACATGAAACGAAGACAAAGGAAGTAAGCTACAGAGGACATGTAAAAAGTTGATGATTTTAATCTCAGGCATATTTTTATATTTTCTAGTGTCTTATGACAGATCTGTCTGTTTGGTTTCAACATAGAATTTTGCATCAGTGTGCAATAGCAGTTCAAGTAGCTACACTTTACTTAGAACACAAATCCAGAGAAGAAAGTAAAACAAACGCAAAATAGAGACAGTAAACAGAGACTGAGAACGATTTTGAACCATATCACTAATTGTTTCCAACCATTGGTTTTTACCATCCCAAGGACCCCAACCAGTCAGGAAGTCTACATCTTCCTGCATGGCCGGCTTAAACTAATTGTTGTGGCTTTCATTGACTGATGACGAAGTCATGTTTTGGTTCGACCTCCACTAGTTCTTTTCCAACCTGACCCTATATCAGCTAACATTACCCGTCGAGGAAAGCAATGACTAGGAATCCGTAACACAAGTCCTAACCATCTCAGTCGATGTAATTTCACAGCCTCGTCGATTGATTTCCCCTCCCACCTACCTAGCACTCGACCTAAGCCTAACCTCAATATTGCTCACCCTATTACACCTACCACTTAACACGGGAGATAAAACGCAGACACATATGATCAAAGACACCTAACCAAGCTTTTCATGTCTTCGACTCTCAATGGCCAGGTCTCATAGCCAGCCATAAAGGAGGGCGGAGCGGACTGATGAGTAGTACACACGCCCTTTGGTCGATAGCCAGTTGGATATCTCGTCTACTAAGCCAGAGACGGCGTAAACTGGCATATGCGAAATTAGCCCTCTGTATCCGTGCTGAGATTTCGTCAGAGATCAACCCGTTGGCACTGGCTGATGGCACTTCCCAAATAAGTGAAGCGGTCAACGTGCTCTACCACTTCACTTCCTATTTCTAAACTAGGAGTCGGTGTAGTTCAGTCCTGTAACATCATCTCGCATTTCACGGCGGGAGCGAATCGCATGCCAAACATTCGTAGATTGCAGCTCAAGGTGTTCAGAAGACTCGGCCGTATTTTGTCAGCGTCCTCGCCTAGAAAGACTATATCGTCTGCATATTCTAAGTCAACAAGATTATTCCCTGGTAGCAAGTCAATTTCTGAGTCTCTGAATTGAGTTAGAGTTAAATCCATTAGTACATCTATGATGAAATTGAATAGAAACGGAGATAGTGGACACCTCTGACGGAAACCACTAGCTGCCACTACTTCAGATGAAAACTCTCCGTAGGCTCTCACCTGGCTGGCTACATGAGTTCGAGTAGAGTGAGTGCCTTGATCAGTGTGATGTATTTTCTCGGCATTCCTTTCAGAGTCAAACGTCGCCAGAGTAGCTCTTGGTCAACTGAATCGAATGCCAGATGTTATCACGGCAGATTCAGAGTGACCACTATTTTCCTCTGTACATAGAGACCACAGGGTTTATAAACTCTAACTGTACAAGCCTAAACAGTTTATCAAGACGTCTCTTTTTCTGTCTTCTTACAACACTGAACGACTCGACAGAGTGAATATCATTTTATTAATAATAAATAATAATAATAGTCAATCTGAACGAAGAATATTCTTTTCAGTACATCCTTCTCTTCAGGTTCTTACAATTATAAAATATAATATTTGTGGTCGTTACAATAAAGGCCAGTTATGCGGCAGATACATTTTTAACGTAGAATAACAGATTAGTAGTATACAATTGGTGGATGGTGGCTAGCAGTGGAATCCAGGATAACGCGCATTTCGTCCTATTTGGGACTCGTCAGCTATCTGGATGTACCTGCATTTCTCAGTGAGTGATGATGTTCCCACCGAGGCTCGAACCCAGTACCCATAGTTTCAAACGCCAAAGCGTTATCCACTAGACCACTTGGGCCACGAGAGCCAGATTAGTAGTTATGGGTTGTCAAAATTAATAGTCATATTTTGCTTATTATTATAAATATTATTATTACAGTCATTAATATTATAATTCGTGATAATTTATGCCCTTATTGCAAACATTCCCTCAATACTATCGAATTTTTCATTTATACCATCCGGACTTATTATTATTTTTTTTTTTTTTGATTTACAGCTTGATTCCACACTGTATTTTTGGTACAAGTATGGAATTTTCAGCATGGATATCGGTAGCCCAAATTTTGCAGGCCGACCATAGATATCAGGTGTGCGTCGGCGTGGGCTCGAACCCCGGACCATGTGCATGGTCGGCGAGAGTCCTAACCACTGTGCCACCGACGCACAGTGGTGATATTATCTGTTTTCTCAATATATGCCTCCACCTGTTTCATTTAACATATTCGTTATCTCATTATGAACCACCTCTCATTGCAGTCTTACTATCTCTTGTTTAACTCAGACCACTCTGTACTAGCCACTTCACTCACTCACCTGACACCTTTTATAACCTTGACCTGATTTGTCAATTTTCCTACCCCACACTCTACAATTCTATTATGATTAATCACCACCATTGTCTCACATTTCACCAATATTTTGTAATCGATTTCAGCCTAGCACGTTTGTCACATAAATATGACTATTAATTTTGACACCCCATAACTACTAATCTGCTATTCTACGTTAAAAATGTATCCGCCGCATACCTGGCTATCTTTATTGTAACGACCACAAATATTATAATTGTTTTATAATTGTAAGAACCTGAAGAGAAGGATGTACTGAAAAGAATATTCTTCGTTCAGATTGACTTTTAATTCATAATATGGGAATATTTCACACTATCAAATCTTATAATAATAATAGTTTGTGAACTTCGCGGAATTTTAACTTCAACTTTTTTTCAATCATTTGGATAAATCCTCAAGTTTTGATTACACACTAGTCAATAACTAGCATAATGTGTGCATGCGTCTAGTTTTATCTTTGGTGCACACTGAATTATATCAGTCATGTTCGCAATCTGACCACCATACCACTAGGTGGCTCACCATCACGTCACGGTGCACTGTGAATTGTTGGTATTTGATGTTTGGAGGCAAACGGCAGGAAACGCTGTCTGGATCTAGGTTTAGTGCTAGTTGGCAGCAATCAACAGACAGTCAGCAAGGCGTATCTGCAACCTCGAAGGAACTTATGTCCGATTCCTCTGAGATTCAAACCCGCGTCATTCAGTAGGTGCTGCAGGCAGAGACGTTACCACCACTGAGCTATTCGGTCTGGATCGCGATTGACCTCCTCTGGGACTGTAGTGCATATTTTTGACTGGACTCTAGTCAGTGCATCTAGGTCCTATCTATCAATCAATTATACGCGTAGACACTCAAGTTGAAGATTTATGAGTAATTTTTCCCAGATTCTTGACGTATTAGCCAACTGTTACTGAGAAACACCATCTCATAGTAAGTTATGTTAGTCACGTATCTCCCTAGGTATTTTTCACAGTGAATATATATATATATATATAGGTCTTCGCTCTATACTGAAGAACAGATGGCCAGGCCGGGAAGAACCACCAATTATTGAAAACTATAGGAACAAACAAACCAGACAAGAACCAATCTCCAACCAAAAAATATGCAGGAGAAAGTGGAGATGACACTCGTGGCTGAGGAGGCCGCCGCCGGGTGACATCACTCGCGCGTCAGGCCATTGCTCGAGTGGAAACAGGTCAAAAGGGAAGCGGTGAGTGGGTCGGTCGTCAGTGCAAGGGTGACATGGAGAAGATCGTGTGAAGAGAGAGGAGTTGAAAGAGTATGGAGTAACATGGATGGATGGAGGTGAAAAGTACAGCAGAAGGAAGACAGAAGCAAGTGGAGACGTGCAGTTAAAGCCCTATGTTCCACTAGGAAACCAAAGGAACGATAATAATAATAGTATAATTGTGTGCGTCGGCGGCACAGTGGTTAGGATTCTCGCCGACCATGTACATGGTCCGGGGTTCGAGCCCTCGCCGACGCACACCTGATATCTATGGTCGGCCTGCAAAATTTGGGCTACCGATATCCACGCTGAAAATTCCATACTTGTACCAAAAATACAGTGTGGAATCAAGCTGTAATCAAAAATAAATAAAAAAAAATAAAATAAAAAAAAAAGTATACATGGCATTATATGTGTAGTGCATTCACCTGAGAAATTCTACTGGAATTTGATGAATTCATCAAAATTCTGATTTATTAACATTCTTTATGCTTTTTTGAAAAATAATATACAAACGTTGCGAGAAAAAAAGAACATTCGAATACAATTTTAAAGTTTGTCGACACAGTTCAATAAAGTAGTATGTTTAGTTTCTTTCTTAATTAATTATCTGCGTACTTTCTTTTTTATTTCTTCACTTCCCGCTAGCTAACTTGAAGTGATCTCACCCTCTGAGCAGATTTAATCCCGATGTACTATCAATGAGGTTGATTTCAAACCAGGGAAGCGGCCGTCAGGCTATAACACACACATGTACTACTACGGTGAGTGCTACTGACAATATTTATCAGTAGTATGTATTTATCGAGATGTTCAATGGTATAAAAAACATCAAATAGAAGGGGGATAGATTTG